AAAAAAAAAAAAAAAAAAAAAAGATGAGTATGATCAAACTCTCAGGCATTTTCTTGAAAATTCATTGTGATGGAGGGGAGGAGTAAAGGTTGTTGGTCACCTTCACCTTATATTTCTGTAACCTGTCCACCCATCTTCAAGCTGAAGAGCTTTGGTGCTTCAGAAAGTGGGGCAAGTGATGGCGTACCTTGGTTAGAAGTGAGGAACAGTATTTTGAGGGAGATGAATATAACAACGTGTCTTTTAATGTCATTTTAAAAAATGAATCATTGTATATTTTTATTCAGTCTTGCATGCTGCTACCCAGATTATCTACCAGTGACAGCAGAGACACGCCCTGAATAAGACTATTTTTTCTTTCTCTTTCTTTCTTTCTTTCTTTCTTTCTCTTTTCTTTTCTCCTCTTCCTTTCTCCTTTTTTGTTCCTGGTTTTCTTTTTGCTTGTTTTTTTTCTTGATTGCTCTTATTTCTGTAACAGCGTGAATACAGTTTCTAGTTCTCCTGTCGTCATTAGTTTGTTCTATTCTTAATTTTGTCCCTTAATTCTCTCTTTTCCTCCTGTCTTCACAATTTCTCAACGTTCATATGACCTTCCTGTGTCCTCTAGTTCTACTTCTAACCTTTTCCTCTCTTTCTATTTCTCTATCCCCACCCACCAAGCTCCTTTTAAGTCTTCTTCCTGGAAGCTAAATTTGAAATACTAAAGGGCTTATTTACTGCAAAGATACGTATTTCTGATTGGTCCTAGATTTTTATATATAACTTCAAGTCAAGTTCATGCAGTAGAGGGTGAGAGATAGTTACCAAAATTTTTCATTCTCTAAGCTGTGTTTGATGCTATCTTTGCTGATGATAAAATTACTTCAGCCAATGTGATGTGATTGTTCTAGTCAGTTTTTATTCCCTGTATACTGAGACAGTGATTTACTAAGGGGGTCGTTGCAGTCTCAAAACCCAAAGACCAGCTATACATGGAAGCTATGTTTGAGAAGTAGTCATTCCCGATGGGTTTTAAATACTGGCAATAAAAATACTCACAATAAACCACATGCAATTATCCTGTAAGAATTAAACCAAAAACAACAACATCACCGAATGGAAATTAGAAGACACCTGAACAAGATGCAAATCCAGCCTTCTTGATCACCAAAATCAAATCCAGGGGTTAATGACATGGAATAATCCAAAATTCATCTACCTGTCCTCGTGAAGTAGTAAAAGGGAGGTAATGAAAGAGGCTCTGGAAAAAATGAAATCAGACACAATTTCACAGATAACAAGAGGAGAGGGTATGGTGAACATGGCCATACTTCCAAAAGTGCTGTATAGATTCAATGCAATCACAATTGAAAAGTCTGATTTCTTAAAAATAGGTAGGGACCATGAGAAATCAATGTAACATCTACTAGAAGTTGTAAAAAAGAATAACTTAAGATTGATGAGAATCAA